CTCATTTGGTCTCACAACTGACTTGACCTCATTTGGTCTCACAACTGACTTGACCTCATTTGGTCTCACAACTGACTTGACCTCATTTGGTCTCTCAACTGTCACATTTTTTCCTGTGTGAAAACAAGAGTGGCAAATGAATATAAATCACCGATGTTTTATAAAATAATGTACCGGCACTGTGCTATAAAATATTGAAAAAATATTATAAAACATGCGATAAATGATAATATTTTGAATATACTGGATAATTGATTATGATTATAGTAGGCATAAGATTTTAGTCTTTCTCATGTAATTAGCTTTTCGGTTTAAAGTGTCGTGTCCTTATTTTGAACTAGAAATAACCGATGGAAAACATTACAAGCACAGAAGGTGTTAACAGTTTTATGACATATGTGCATTCAGAAACTGATGTTTATTTTATGGTTCAATAGAGTCAAATATGTCTTTGACCATGATGTTTATTTCATGGATTTATGATTACAGGTACCAAAATAATGTTAACCATGTTTTATTATTACCAATGTTAAAACCAAACGGTGGGGAAATAAGCTTAAGGGTGGGCTCAGGAGCCCTTCAGTGCGCTCGCTTTCTGCTCCCCTATCCCCAACAATGTCTCGACCTGAATCACTTTCTGAGGGGTTAAAACGCTCAGTAAATCAAAGTTTCTGTTTACATGCCAGATCTTACATTGAAGTTCTGCAAAGTACTATTTCTATTGACATTTTAAAAAATCAATCAAAAAGGTTATTGATCTTACCAGCCTCAACACTTAGTTTCATTTTTTTAAATCTCTTTCTCCATAGGTCTACTTGAAAACAATCAAAATCTAGTGCGGCATACAATAAATTAATACATTGTGAATTTAATAATAAAATAATACAGTCCATATATTTTAATATAATAATGAGATTTTGTATTGCAACTACAAAAAATTTTTTCACACCGTGTTGACATTAAATGCTACACTCTCATCTAATTTTTAAAAAATAAATGAATTAAAGCTCAGTCTAAATTTAGATGTCTGTAACAATCTTTTTAGCATTCAAGTCTTTCCGAAGGAAAGGAAACACAAAAAAATAGTGCCTAAAGTAATACTTGCGCTATAGTTGACTCATACTTGATAATAACGACTCAGGAAGTGAAGACTTATAAAATATCTAGCAATGAAATTATTTCCAAGGCCAGATTGAATGCATTGTGTTGATAGAAGCACAAGCTTCATAAATAACTACAAAAATCTTACAATACATTTTAATGACCCCTAAACCTTTGTTCAAAATGTAATAAATATAAATTGCATGAACTAAGATGAACACAAAATATGAACTCCCAAAATAGTATACATGGTTTCAGAATAGTACTTCACCATCTCAAAGCGAACAATATTGTATAGTATACTTAAGAAATAAACATACATTATACAATGGCTACTAGCATCGCATGTCTGATAAAGGTCACTTACCAAAGTCTTTGCCACTATGACAGAGGAATATGGGATTGGGAGGCAGACATCAAAGATGCCAGCCGCAGTCACCTGAGCTCAAGAGGAGGGTGGGGGGGGGGTTTTGGGGCCAAACCCCTTCCTCAAATTTTTTTTTTTCAATTCAAAATTCAGGGTTTCAAGTCAGGGGGGGGGGGGGGGGGGGGGGGGGGGGGGTGGGGTTGGGGCCAAACCCCTTCCTCAAATTTTTTTTTTTCAATTCAAAATTCAGGGATTCACTTTTGCATATACCTGAAAATATTTGCATCAGCATCATTCTACACTTAATCGTAATGCTTGTGGAAGATTAGGTGCCCTGTGCCTAGCTGTGTTTACATAAATTTTTTTCTTTTTTAGTAATTACTAAATAGTAAACTGTTTTAGTTCTTTTTATTTCAATCACTTGCATTCTTTCACAAAATAAAAGATTTCTATATATTTCGAATGTGCGTTTATGCCAAGAATGATAAATCCTGCAAGTCACAATATTTAACAGGGGTGGGGGGTGGGGGAAGGAAAAAGGGGGGGGGGCATTAGATCATCCCAGCATTAAGCTGAGGAATCTGATTTCTGTTAACATATTATAAGTATAATAACCACATCAAACTTAATTAATATCATGTGTAATAAATAATGATGTTTTTACCCCGCTTTTTTTTAGCCTAAATTAGTCAGGTATTAATTAAGTTGTTTTTTAATACAAAATTATAAATATATTTTCTCAGTGCAGATTCTCTAATAAAAGATCTGAAACCTCCTGATCTACAAACATTTAATGGGAATGTTAATGCAGAACAAGTCCTGTATCAAGGGGTGGGGTGAACAACAGCTGACAATAGAAGGCATTCAAATAAAACTACTCATGAACTAAAGATTCCTCTTACTTAATGCAACTGTAGAATTGCAGTGACCACCCTCACCATTGGACATGAATTCTGATGAAATCCCCTCACACAATACTCATTTTAAAAAGAGACAGATTCTGTAATCTGTATTAATGAAACTTATTTCTCGGTCCACCCCCAGGTGTAGAAAGGAGCTAATATTATCAATAAAAAAAGGTTGCCTTTTAAATGATAAAAAAACTACCTGGATATATATTTTCAACCTGGTCTCTTAAAAATCGTAAATCTGGCAGTTCTTGGCGTACAATCATAAAATGCATCTCAAAAGTGTACATTGTATGTCAAATTCATAAGAGTACAAGGTCTGTACTTGTCATTTGACTTTTAATTAAAAAATTCTATCAGCAATACTCGATGTCATGTTTAGTTTTATTTATTCATAACTTTAAAAAGAGTTAGTAATTTATTCAAATATTGAAAATTATCTAAAACAACTTTAATGTGCAAACCTTATTGCAAGTGCATTATAAAAGGACATGTAAATACCGTTTGACAGAGCTGAATATGATTTTTTTAATAAGCCTACAGGCTGTTGGGAGTTTATCATGTATCTACCATAAAATAAACATGATCTATAAATGTGAAGTAATTTAAACTCTTGATTATGTGCAACACAACAGGAAAATAACATGGAATTTGTTTAAAGAATTAATTCAAGAAAATAGTTCTTATTTTGTGCAATGTCGATTGGTCCATTCAATGTATTGTCATTTTAAAAAAAAAATTACTTAAAAAACGAATGGTAAGTAATAACAAATAAATAATATCTTTTGAGATTAGCATAAAAAAGAAAGATCTTTAAAATGTTAGTTACCGTATTTCAAAAGTAAGATATTGAGATATAAATAGAAATCAAACATTCTTTGAGAAATAAACTTATCTGAAAAAATTACATTTACTTCAAGTCTCACATAATTTTACTGTAAAATGGTCATAAGAATGACTTTATCATGAAATATAACTGGGGAAAAAAAAAAAAAAAAGTTCGAAACAAGATACAAATTTCAGAATCATCTCAAATAGAGTAAAATACAAGCAATTATTTGTTGAAAAAAAAATTAATTGAAAGTTTATCTTAATACCCAACTT